ACAAATGACCGGAATGACAAATGAGTGCTCCGTGCCACGCGTCCTCAGTATACGCTTTGACCGTCTGTTCCACGCGGCGCACATCCGCGGACAAGCGCTCGGACCCCTGGAGCCACGGTTGGCGGGGCCCCTTCCTGCCACCGGGGGGGGGGGAGCCTCCAGGAGTCGGGAGCTTTGAGACGGGGGTCGATACAAACGGGGGTCAGCCAGGGCACCAGATCCAGCAGGATCCTGCGAAGACCCCCTCTCGCTGACCCGGGTTAGGGAGCCGCTCGTGGCCGCGAGGCGGCCGCGCCTATTGGCTGACCCGGGTTTGCGAAGATCTGCGTTGCAGTTTTTTTGTTCCTGCATTGCAGTTGTTGGTTTCTTGCTGACCCGGGTCTGGATTGACCCGGGTCAGAGGATCCCCGAAGGAGGGGCGCTGGCCTCCCAGGAGGCGCGCGCAATATCCGATGCATGCTGTGCCCAGTCATGGTTCAGGAGGGGAAAAAACACGCAGGCACAAGTAATCGTCGACTCCCAAGGAAATATGGGAAAATATGGGAAGTGGTGTGAAGACAAAAACCCAGAACATATGGGAAAATATGGGGTATATTTTTATTTGTGTGTATTTATTTGTGTGTCCCAGGGCCCCTTCAATGGTTGAAACCTCGTTGCCCTCAGGCAGAGCTCTTCCTGTTGACGGCGGGCGTCCTGCGGGACGGGAAAATGACCACAACCACTGCTTCTTGTTTGTGCCGCCTTCCAACTGGCCGAAAAAGAAGCAGTGGTTGTGGTCATTTCCGTGGCGCCAAGCTTAGAGAATATTACTTCAACCACTGCTTTGTTTCTGCTGGCTGGAAGGCGGCAACAAAAGAAAAGCAGTGGCTGTGGTCGTTTTCACGTCCCGTACGTCCTGCTGGTCCCCCTCGATCTTGGATAATCCACAGGGCCATTGAAACCTCATCGACAACAAATACACATGACAACAAGCGAAGGATAAACTTGAAGTTTTGCATACACTCCACCCGCACCTTCTCTATGCATATATGTATATGTGTGTGCGTCTCGATTCACAACCTATATATATATATCTTTCGAGTGTATATACAGTTGTATGTTTACTCTTTCCGTACTTGATGTGCCACCACGCTTGGCTCTTCACTTTATTGTTTTTCAGCGATCATATTGTCGACGACGCCTACGGCGAATCACCGCCGCCCCACGCCTTTTGGAATCGCCCATGTGGCCGAGCGTTGTGGCAAGAGCTATGCCAAGCTATCGGACTATGGCATCCTGGGAGCCTCCTCCTAGGAGCTTCCTGGGAGCCTCTTGGAGGCATCTTGGGGGCCTCCTTGGGCATCTTGGGGGCCCTTGGGGGCTTTTCGGGTGTCTCTTTGGCCGTCTTAGGGCATCCCTGGCCCGTCTGACGCCGTCGGAAGCCGTCCTGGGGGCCTCTCTGGGCCGACTTAAAGCCCTCTTGGGGTGCTCCACTGCCATTTTGGAGGCCATCTTGTGTGTTTTGGAGGCCTTCTTTGGACCCTTTTGGGGCCGTCTTGGGGGCCTCTTGGGCCGTTTTGCGGCCATATTGGAGGGAGGCCTCTTGGGCGATCTTTGGGTGATCTTTGGGGTTCTCTTGGGCCGCCTCGGGCCGTCGGAAGATCGAACAGCAACAAGTGCTAGAATCCTTTTTTGCAACACCTGTGGGAGATCAATGATGTGGGCATCTTCGGGCCTTCCTGGAAGCCCTCTTGAAGGCCTCTTGGGCCGTCTTGCGCCATCTTGGAGCTATCGTAAGCGGATTTGGAGGCATCTCGGACCCTCTTGGGCCGTCTTGGAGGCCCTCTTGAACCATCTTTGGGCGAACTTGGAGGCCATCATGGCCATCTTGGATTGGAGGCCATCCGAGCCGTCTGAAAGACGTTTGTGTGCAGCGGCGGGGAGTTTTGGCGGCGCCGACCGTGTGGGCAGGGTGTCCCGCTGCAGGGGTCGTTCGGCCGTCCGCGCCAGGGCGCCCAACGCCGCAAAAGAAAATGCGCTGGAACGCAAACTCTGCCATTTTTTGGTCACCCCTGAGCCGCCCCGAAGGCACTTTCAGAGTCCCTGCGGCGCGCGCGACCGTGCGCGGCGCCTTTCGGTGAGTAGCCGGCGCGCTGGGCCGAAGCCCCAGAGGGGAGCTCTCCTGGAACAGCCGTGGGACTGCCGCGGCGCTGGGGCGCCTAAAGTTTTTCCAGGGCCCCAAGACACGCCCAAGACGGCTTCCAGGGCTCCAGGGGCCCTTGACGGCCCAAGGGCGCCCCCCAGACGGCCCCAAAGAGCCCAAAGACGGCTCAAGAGAGCCCCGTGGGGCAGCCGAGAAGTCCCAAAAGAGCACGTTGATCGACCAGTTTGTCGTGGGTGTGCCGCGGTGCGTGAAGTTTTTCCAGGGCCCGACGAGAGCCCCAATGCAGCCCCAGGAGACGCCCAACACGGCACCCCAAGAGCGCCCCAGACGGACAAAACGAGCTCCAGTCGTCCCCCGGAGAGCGTCCAAAGGCAGTTTCCAGCGACGCCCCGGAGGCCAGAGAGCGGCGCCAGACGGCCCAAGAAAGCCCCGAGACGGCCCCAGAGGGTCCCAGGAGGCAGCCAAAACGGCCCAAGAGGGCCCATGGTTCGACCAGTTTGCCCCGGGCTTGCCCTGGTCCCGGGGCGCACGGAGGCCCTCCAGGTGCCTAAGGGGGCCCGCGAAGAAGGCGCAAAAGCGCCCGACCTTCGACCAGTTTGCAACGGGCGTGCCACGGTGCTGGGGCGCCTGCAGCTTTCCCTGGGTCCCAGAAGAGGCAAGAGCCAGCCCCCAAGATCCGCCCGAGACGCCCACCATTTCTGAGGGCTCTTGACGGCCCAAGGTTGGGGAAACGTAGGACTCGAGAACGCCAGGACTCGGGTTTGCCGACGTTTCTTGACGAGCGCGTCCTGGATTTTGACGGTCCAGTTTTCGTGGGATGTCTGCAGCAGGAGTTCGCGTCAAATTTAAGATTGGGTCTTGTCATCTTCATGATGGCCCCGTCAGGCCAACCCGAGTCCCCCGTACCCGAGTTGTACGTCTCCCCGACAAGGGCGCCCCCCAGACGGCCCCAGAGAGCCCAAAGACGGCTCAAGAGAGCCCCGTGGGGCAGCCGAGAGGGCACCAACGGGCACGCTGTTCGACCAGTTTGCCGTGGGCGAGCCGCAGTGCTGGGGCGCGTGAAGTTTTCCCAGGGACCCAAGAGCCCCCAATGCGGCCCCAAGAGACGCCCAAGAAGGCCCCCCAGACCCCAAGAGTGCCCCAGGCGGCCAAAAAAGAGCTCCAGTAGCCCCCACCAGAGGACATCCACCAAAACTGCGGGCAATACTTATATCCATATCCAGAGCGTCTTTGATTTTTCGGGAAGAGGTGCCGCAACGCCGAGGCGCACTGGATATGGATAAAATCAAGCCTCTTGGGGCCAGATTTGTTATCCATATCCAGTGCGTCTACGGTTTCTGGGAAAGAGAGCCCAAGACTCCAAGACGCACTGGATGTGGATATAACTACTGCCCGCAAAAGCGGCTCCCAAGGACCCTCGGCGGCCCCAGAGCGCCGCCAGACGGCCCAAGGATGCCCCAGGATGGCCCAAGAGGGTTCCGTAGCCATTGGGGTTCGAGCCCTTGTGGCAAGAGCAGACTCTGCTCCTTCCAGTTTTTCTCACCGTGGGTGATGGCGGCCCATTGGCCCTTCTGAGGCCCGGGCCGGGCGAAAGGGGGGGATTGGGAAAGGGGGGGTTACGAAATCTGCTGCATGCAGCTGGTTTCGGCCTCACCGAGGTGCCCATTCCTCGATACATGGCCGCCTCGGGCGCTGGGAGGCGCCGGGAAAATCAGCCACGTGAGCTGATTCTCAAACCCCCCCTTTGCTATCCCCCCTTTTCGCCCGACCCGAAGACCCACATGTGAACCCTACCCCTCCCGCCCACGATTTCTGAAGGGGAGGGTGGGGTTCACTTCGTTCGGGAGCTCCCGAGCGAAGTGAACCCCACCCTTCCCTCAGAAATCGCGGGGGGTAGGGGTAGGGTTCGCATGTGGCCCCCTACCATTGGCCCTTCTGAGGCCCCAGGCGGCAGCGCTGCAGATGCTGCAGGACGAGCTGTGGCGGGCACCCCTTCTTATCTCTGCGGCACGCGGCGCCGCAGGGCCGCCGCTGCTCTGCGGCCGAGCCGCAGGCGCCGTGGCGCAGGCGGAGCGGACCTCTGTCTCGGCGGCTCGCGACTCGGGTCGGGCGAGAGGGGGGGATTGGGAAAGGGGGGGTTACGAAATTTGCTGGCCCAAGATGGCCCAAGAAGGTCCCGTAGCCATTTGGGTTCGAGCCCTTGTGGCAAGAGCACACTCTGCTCCTTCCAGTTTTTCTCACCAGTTTTTCTGGACGCCCGAAATGGGTACTGGAAGAATGGGTACTATGCCCAACAGCGGATCTTGTTCATTTTGAACCAGATCCGCTGTCCACGCCGCCGCGGCCTGTGTCCATTCGAGACTGGAGGCCGCCCGCCCAACAGCGGCCGCTGTTGGTTTGGGACAACATCTGTTGTTGGGCATTGTGCCCATTCTTTCAGTACCCATTTCGGGTGTCCAAAATTGGGAAAGGGGGGGATTGGGAAAGGGGGGGATTGGGAAAGCGGACCATCAGGGGGGGATTGGGAAAGGGGGGGTTACGAAATTTGCTGCATGCAGCTGGTTTCGGCCTCACCGAGGGGCCAATTCCTCGATACATGGCCGCTCCCGGCGCCGGGAGGCGCCGGGAAAATCAGCTACGTGAGCTGATTCTCAAACCCCCCCTTTGCTATCCCCCCCTTTCGCACGACCCGAGAGACTCCCGCGCGGTGGCGGCGCCGCTGCACTGCGCGAGGCCCTGTGATTTTGGCATCGGAGTGCTTGGAGTTTGGTTGTTCCGCCGGCGAGCGTCGGCTTCTGGGCGATGCAGACGCCGCTGCAGTCGCCGAGCAGGCGCTAAGATCGCGCCTGACGCCCGAATGACGCCAACGCCGATGGAGAATCAGTACATCAACAGGTTGATCGTCTTTGCGAGGCAGTTTGAATCAACCATCTTCGTCCGGGTGTACTCGAACTCGCAGTTCCAGATCACCAACGGCTCCAGGCCATTGACCATGCTCACCCCTGACCCGAACGCTCGCTTCACTCAGGAGGGGAAAAAACACACAGACACAATTAATCCTCGATTTCCCCAAAAATATGGGAAAATATGGGAAGTGGGGGGGGAAGACAAAAACACCACAAAATATACGAAAATATGGGGGATATGTTTATTTGTGTGTATTTATTTGTGTGTTTGTGGGCCTCTTCATTCACGCAGGCCGACTGCATTCACAACCACCATATCTTGAACGAGATCGGCAGCTTCAAGATGCAGAGCTCGTTCGCGTTCCGGGCCGAAGAGGTAAGCTCCCTGCGGGTGGTCAACGACAACGTGTCCGTCGTGATCATGGACTCGGAGGGGGGCCCCGAGGGAGTCATGGTTCGGCACAACAGATGGTTCCTGAACGCAGTGGTCGTGGCCTGCAAGAAGGATGGCACGGACTATATCATAGGTATCCGATCACCCGATGTTCCCCACATCTTCCATCTGAACGGTAAGGTGTTGCCCCTGGCGCCCTGCGGCCATGATCATCTGTTCACTGACGAAGACTGCATCTACAACCGTGAGTCTTTCGCAGCTGGCCAGGATGGACAGAGCTTGCTGGTATACTCCGTTCCGTTGGACAGTGCCGATTCTCTCGTCCTCGAGGTTGATTGGCTTGCACTCGTGATAAAAAGTTGCATCAGTGACAAGATCGCAGGTGACGCGCAAACCATCAGCCCAAACTTGAAGGCATGGTCAAACATCCTTCCAGGCAATCCTCCGAAGCACATGTTCCGCACCTTTCCATGTTTCAGCGACGAGGAGGTGTTAGAAATCAATGCCAAGTGTCGATCGCTTGCACACTTGAGAACGCACCGTAAGTTTGTGCTGGGTCACGTAGGGTACATGGGCGATTACACGAATGATTCTTTCGGGGATCCGATGTCAGTTGTGAAGAAGAACCGGATGTTGAAAGAGCATTTCCAGCCATACATCGACACCATGATGGATCACTTAAGTTCAGAATTGGGGGAGCCAGTGTTTACGTTGCCTTACGTGTTCTTACCAGGTTTGCACTACCAGGACGGGAACTCTCCAGATTTTCAGCACGGACGGGATACCTTCTTCGGAGAGTTTCATTGCGACGGGCAACACACTCGCTTACAGCAGCAGTTGGGCGACATCGAGAGACTGCACGGCATCAAACACAACATCGATTACGAGAGAAGGTACACGGCCACATGCTGCATTACAGAGGGCGGTATGTACATGTATCCGACTCAGGAGCTGTCCACGTGTTGCCGGGACGACCTGCATTACAGTGTGACCTATAGGAGGGGATGGATCAACCTACATAGCGGGAGATGGGTGCATCAGATCAGCACTCATCAATCTTCGTTGGACAGAATATGTTGGCAGGCTCACCTCGTTTGGTGTGATGATGCGGAAAGACGGGGATGGCTTATCTATTGGTGAAGGATACGTTGATCAAGGGTGTGCGCCTTGGAGGATAGTTGAACATTTGAGCAAGTGTCATACTTGTTCATCCAGTTCTCAGTGGGCGCTGGAAGTTTCCCCAGAGCCACTGTACAGTCCCAAGAGACGCCCTAGACGGCCCCTCTACTCCAGCAGCGCCCCCGGACAGCCAAAGAGAGCCCCCAGTAGTCTTCCAGAGGACGTCCAAGACAGCTTCCAGGGATCCCCCCCCGCGGCCCCAGAGCGCCGCCGGCCCGCCGAAGAAGGCCCCAAGGCGGTCCCAGGAGGCAGCCGCTGAGGCCCCAGGGGTGCCCACTGCTCGACCAGTCTGCCCCGGGCTTGCTCTGCTGCTGGGGCGCACAGGGCCCCCCCAGGGGCCCACAAGGGCTCCAGAAGGCAGCGACGAACGCCCAGGAGCGCTTGTGGTTCGCCCTGTTCGCCGCGGGTTTGCCGCGGTGCTGGGGCGTGTGAGGCTCTCCCAGAGACCCAAGAGAGCCGAGAGACAGCCCCAAGACACGCCCAAGACGGCTTCCAGGGCTCCAAGGGCCTTTGACGGCCCAAGGGCGCCCCCCAGACGGTCCCAAAGAGCCCAACGACGGCTCAATAGAGCCCCGTGGGGCAGCCGAGAAGTCCCAAAAGAGCACGTTGATCGACCAGTTTGTCGCGGGTGTGCCGCGGTGCGTGAAGTTTTTCCAGGGACCGAAGAGAGCCCCAATACAGCCCCAAGAGACGCCCAAGACGGCCCCCAGACCCCATGAGCGCCCCCAGGCGGCCAAAAGGAGCTCCAGCACCCCCCCCCAGAGGACGTGCAGGACGGCGTGCGGGAACCCTTGGCGGCCCAAGAGTACCGCCAGGCGGCCCAAGAAACCCCAAGACGGCCCGAGAGGGTCCCAGGATGCAGCCAAAACGGCCCAAGAGAGCCCACTGTTCGACCAGTTTGCCCCTGGTTTGCCCTGGTGCTGGGGCGCACGGAGCCCCTTACAGGGGGGCCACGAGGGCTCCAGAAGGCAGCGAAGAAGGCCCAAGAGGGCCCCTTGTTCGACCTGTTTGCCCTGGGTTTCCCCCTCCAGGGGCCCAGGAGCGACGCAGATGCCCGAAGACAGCTCCTCCTCCTTTTCCTCCTCCTCGTCCTCCTCCTCCTCACCCTCCTACTCGTCCTCCTCCTCCGCCGCGTCCTCCTCCATCTCCTTCTTCTCCTCCTCCTCCTCCTCCTCCTCCTCCTTCTCCATCTCCTTCTCCTCCTCCTCCGCTGCGTCCTCCTCCATCTCCTCCTCCTCCATCTCCTGCTCCGCCGCATCCTCCTCCATCTCCTCCTCCTCCTCCTCCTCCCCCTCCTCCTCCTACGACCAGTTTGCCGTGAGTTTGCCGTGCTGTCGCTGCGCACGAAGCCCCTTCGGGGGCCAAGGCGAGACCCGAGAAGGTCCAAGCGGGCTCCGAGGGGGCAGCCACGAAGGCCCCGGGCGGCCCACTGGTCGAGCAGTTCGCCGTGCGCTTTGCCGTGGGGCGCACCAGGCCCGTGGGACTGCCGACGTGCCGAGCGGGCTTGTCGGCCATGGCTGAGGTCGACGCCCGCAAGGTGCGCTGAGCTCGGGGGCGGCATGTCGCTCCTCCTCGGCGCTCCCCTCCTCCCTCCTCCTGGCCAGCGCTGGAGACGGCATGGCGGGGCTCGTCGGAGGGTTGCGGGGAGTGGACAGGTTCGGCCAACGGTGGCCCCCCCAAAAAAACAACAACAAAAAAGCCCCTCCTCGTCCCGTGGGACTGCCGACGTGCCGAGCGGGAGGAGGAGGAGGAGGAGGAGGAGGAGGAGGAGGAGGAGGAGGAGCGCCGCACGTCTGAAGTTTGTGGCGGGCTTGTCGGGCCCCTCCTCGTCCAAGCTCGGAGCTGCACGCGTGGGAGCCGCGTTCCGAGCCAGGCCGTGGAAGAGGCTCGGCGGGGAGCCGCTCCAGAGAGGTGTGCCGTGGGCGGGCCACGCGGAGCTGCGGCCCCGTGCGGGACTGCCGCCGGAGGGGGCCGCGGGAGGGGGCCCCACTCTCAATGCGCTGTTCTGGACGCCCGAAATGGGTACTGAAAGAATGGGTACGATTCGGAGCGTGAATTACCTACCCCGCTTTCGCTTCCAGGCAAAACCAAGCCATACCACGCGCCTCCTCGTCAAGCGGCTTGACCAGTACAGGCTGCAATTTGGCATCGTTTGGTATCTCTTGGAAGCGAGGGTGGTCAAAAGCGAGGTAGGTTTGTTTTCCCCCTAACGATGCCCAACAACAATTCCTGTTCATTTTGAACAGGATTCGCTGTCCACGCCGCCGCGGCCTGCGTTCATATTTGAGACAGGAGGCCGCCCGCCCAACAGCGGCCGCTGTTGGTTCGGGACAACATTTGTTGTTGGGCATAGTGCCCATTCTTTCCGTACCCATTTCGGGCGTCCAAAGCTGTGGGAGGTCTCGGGCGGGGGCCGCATTCCTGAGGTTTGCCGCGGCTTTGTTGGATGCCGCCGCCATGCCAGAGTTGGTTGCCCTGGTGCCGTTTCGTCTACTTGGGCACGCGCTCGTGTGAAGCACTCATGTGAAGCACACGGCGCGCACTCATGTGAAGCATATTGGATGTTCGTTGTGACCTCGTGGGAGGCCTCTCGGGGGCCTCTTGGAGGCAGCTTGAGCCTCTTAGGGGCAGTTTTTGGGCCTCTATTTCCCCACATCATAAGATGGGGTTCTTGTTATTCCCACATGTTTCGTGGGGTTATGGTTTTCTTCTCTGCCGCGTCGCACCCGCGTCTCCTCACACACACCTCCCCTCCCCCACACACACAGCACAGCACAGCTTAGCACAGATCAGCAACAGCGCAGCACAGCACAGCACAGCACAGCATAGCACAGCTCAACGCAGCACAGCACAGCACAGCACAGTACAGCACAGCACAGCATAGCACAGCTCAACGCAGCACAGCACAGCACAGCACAGCGCAGCACAGCACAGCACAGCACAGCTCCGCACAGATCAGCTCAGCTCGGCACCGCACAGCACATCACAGCACAGCTCAGCACGGCATAGCACACAAGGCAGGCGCGCAGGGCACGGCACGGCAGAGCGTGGCAGGGGTGGCACATCCTTGACACCACAGGGGGTGCGCTGGGGGTGGGGTCGCTATCCGTTTCGGGCTCGCAAAGCGCGGCAGGCGTGGCATATCCTCGACACCACAGGGGGCGCGCTCGGGGTGGGGTCGCTATCCGTTTCGGGCTCGCAAAGCGTGGCAGGCGTGGCACATCCTCGACACCACAGGTGGGCGCGCTGGGGGTGGGGTCGCCATCCGTTTCGAGCTCGCAAAGCGTGGCTGGCGTGGCACATCCTCGACACCACAAGTGGGCGCGCTGGGGGTGGGGTCGCTATCTGTTTCGGGCTCGCAAAGCGCGGCAGGCGTGGCACATCCTCGACACCACAGGGGGCGCGCTGGGGGTGGGGTCGCTATCCGTTTTAGCGTTCGTCGCTATCCGTTTCGGGCTCGCAAAGCGTGGCAGGCGTGGCACATCCTCGACACCACAGGGGGCGCGCTGGGGGTGGGGTCGCTATCCGTTTCGGGCTCGCAAAGCGTGGCAGGCGTGGCACATCCTCGACACCACAGGGGGGCGCGCTGGGGGTGGGGTCGCTATCCGTTTCGGGCTCGCAAAGCGTGGCAGGCGTGGCACATCCTCGACACCACAGGGGGCGCGCTGGGGGTGGGGTCGCTATCCGTTTCGGGCTCGCAAAGCGTGGCAGGCGTGGCACATCCTCGACACCACAGGGGGCGCGCTGGGGGTGGGGTCGCTATCCGTTTCGGGCTCGCAAAGCGTGGCAGGCGTGGCACATCCTCGACACCACAGGGGGCGCGCTCGGGGTGGGGTCGCTATCCGTTTCGGGCTCGCAAAGCGTGGCAGGCGTGGCACATCCTCGACACCACAGGGGGCGCGCTGGGGGTGGGGTCGCTATCCGTTTCGGGCTCGCAAAGCGTGGCAGGCGTGGCACATCCTCGACACCACAGGGGGCGCGCTCGGGGTGGGGTCGCTATCCGTTTCGGGCTCGCAAAGCGCGGCAGGCGTGGCACATCCTCGACACCACAGGGGGCGCGCTGGGGGTGGGGTCGCTATCCGTTTCGGGCTCGCAAAGCGTGGCAGGCGTGGCACATCCTCGACACCACAGGGGGCGCGCTGGGGGGTGGGGTCGCTATCCGTTTCGGGCTCGCAAAGCGTGGCAGGCGTGGCACATCCTCGACACCACAGGGGGCGCGCTGGGGGTGAGGTCGCTATCCGTTCCGGGCTCGCAAAGCGTGGCAGGCGTGGCACATCTTCGACACCACAGGGGGCGCGCTGGGGTTGGGGTCGCTATCTGTTTCGGGCTCGCAAAGCGTGACAGGCGCGGCACACCCTCGACACCAAAGGGGGCAAGCTGGAGGTGAGGTCGCTATCCGCTTCGGGCTCGCAAAGCGTGGCAGGCGTGGCACATCCTCGACACCACAGGGGGCGCGCTGGGGGTGCGGTCGCTATCCGTTTCGGGATCGCAAGGCGTGGCAGGCGTGGCACATCCTCGACACCACAGGGGGCGCGCTCGGGGTGGGGTCGCTATCCGTTTCGGGCTCGCAAAGCGTGGCAGGCGTGGCACATCCTCGACACCACAGGGGGCGCGCTGGGGGTGGGGTCGCTATCCGCTTCGGGCTCGCAAAGCGTGGCAGGCGTGGCACATCCTCGAATCCACATGGGGCGCGTTGGAAGTGGGGTCGCTATCCGTTTCTGGCTCGCAAAGCGTGGCAGGCGTGGCACATCCTCGACACCACAAGGGGCGCGCTGGGGGTGGGGTCGCTATCCGCTTCGGGCTCGCAAAGCGTGGCAGGCGTGGCACATTCTCGACACCACAAGGGTCGCGCTGGGGGTGGTCGCTATCCGTTTCGGGCTGTGGCAGGCGTGGCACATCCTCGACACCACAGGTGGGCGCGCTGGGGATGGGGTCGCTATCCGTTTCGGGCTCGCAAAGCGTGGCAGGCGTGGCACATCCTCGACACCACAAGGGGCGCGCTGGGGGTGGGGTCGCTATCCGTTTCGGGCTCTCAACCCCTTCTGATGTCGCTGGGTGGCGGCATCAGAGTGGGTGCGCAAGGGGTGGTCTCTCACCGCGGCCGCTATCCGTGACGGTCGTCCAGGGCAAAGCAGGCATGGCATATTCTCGACACCATATGGGGGTGCGCAAGGGGTGGTCTCTCACCGCGGCCGCTATCTGTGACGGTCGTCCAGGGCACACCAGGCATAGCATATTCTCGACACCAGAGGGGGTGCGCAAGGGGTGGTCTCCCACCGCGGCCGCTATCCGTGACGGTCGTCCAGGGCATGACAGGCATGGCAGATTCTCGACACCATGTGAAGAGCAAACACATAATATTGAAATTACGTATGTGGGGTTCTTCGGTAGCGTAATTACTCTGACGCCTCCTATTCCTTCCTATTATTATTCCCCTCCTCCTCCTCATACCCATAGTTGCTCATACACAGACTGACTCACACTCAGACTTACTCATACCCAGACTTACTCACACACGAAATTATTCATACTCGGACCTACTCGTACTCAGACCTACTCACACTCAGACTCACTCATGCTGAAACTCACTCATACCCAGACTTACTCATACTCAGGCCTTCTCATTGTCTGACTTACTCTACATACAGAAGATTCTGAGGATGTCTCAGGCTGGGCGCTGGTTTCAGCACCCCTAAGGGGAGCCGCCGAGGGGTATGACACAGTCCCGTTCGCGGCCGGTTTGTGGGGATGTCTCAAGCGGTTTGCTTGTTTTCTGTCCCACCATCCTTCGTTTTCGGGGCAACTTTGATGTGTCGATCGAGGCGCTCATTTTCACGCCCCTAAGGTGGGCCGCCGAGGGGTATGGCACGGTCCCGCTCGCGGCCGTTTTGTGGGGATGTCTCAAGCGGTGTGCTTGTTTTCTGTCCCAACATCCTTCGCTTTCGGATCAGATTTGGAGGTTGTCTCGAGCGAGGTGCTCATTTTCACATCCCAGGTGGGCCAGATTTTGGGGATGGCTCGTTCGGTTTGCCAATTTTGGTGGCCAGACTCGTGGGCACAGGTTCTCCTCAGGATGCCACGGGATGCTCCAACAGGCTCCAGGAGGCCCTTGGGGACCACATGAGGTCCCAGGAGGCATCAGGAGGCCACAGAACGACTCAAGAGGCCACAAGTTGCCCCAAGAGGCTCCAGGAGGCCCCAGGAAGCTCCAGGAGGCTTCAGGGAGCCACAGGAGGACCCAGGAGGCCACAGGAAGCGCCAGGGGACTTCGGAAGGCAACATGAGGCCCCGAGAGGCCCCAGGAGCAGGAGGCCTCAGAAGGCAACAGGAGTGGCTCCAATCCCATGTGTTTCACGTATGCTCCTATCTATTGGGCCTCACCTGGAGCACGAATCCTTGACGTTATACGTATGCTTCTATATATATATATATATATATATAGTGTGTGTGTGTCCTTCTCATGTGAACACAATCCTAATGTGTTTTACGTATGTTCCTATATGTTGTGCCTCTCCTGGGGCACGAGTCCTTGGTGCTTCACGTGTGTTCCTATAGATTGCCCTTCTCCTGTGGCTCCAATTCGCAACGTTTTATGTACGTCGGTTGCTATAGATTGGGCCTCTCCTGGGGCAGGAGGTCCCAGGAGGCACCAGGAGGCCCCAAGAGGCTCCTGGAGGCCCCAGGAAGCCCCAGTAGGTTTCAGGAGGCCCCAGGAGGGCCCAGGCTCATGCGCAGAGACGCGCTCGTACTACTGAGGCTCATTCACACTCCAATTCATTCGCAGTTCGATTCACGACCAGACCGCCACAACTGAAGCCCGTGTAGATTCGAAATCTCTTGCGCCTAGACATTCACGGCGGACAGGTCCATGCGAATAGATGCACATATGGGGAGCTCCACGCAGTGAATAATTGGCCTCTTGGGGGCCTCTCGGGGCCCTCGGGGGCCTCTTGGGAGCCTCTTGGGGGCCTCTTGGGCGAATCTTGGGGCCTCCTGAGGGCATCTCGGGGCCGCAGGCTCCGATTCTCGGAGCGTGCTCCCTCTCTTGGGGCCGTGTTCTGGCTTGTCTTGGGGACCTCTTGGAGGCCTCTTGGGCCGTCCTGGGGTGGTCCTGGGGGCTTATTGGGCCGCCTTGGAGCTTCGGAAGACAGAAGATGCGAGAAGGCCATGAACTTTGTAAGCCCGAGGGGCATCAACGAGTTTGGCCTCTTCGGAGGCCTCTTGGAGGCATCTTGGGGCGTCTTGGAGGCCTCTTGGGCCATCTTGACGCCATCTTGGGCGTCTTGGAACGATCTGTCGGCGACTCGGGGCGCTCTGGGACCGTCCTGGGGGCCTGGTGGGGCCCTCTTGGCCCGTCCTCGGGCCCCCTCGGGCCCGGAAAAGTCATGCGAGACATGTGTACCGTAGTCGCCTCGATGCGCTGCGCGCAACCCAGGTCGCCACGGGCTCGTCGGAGGCGTCAACACTGCCAGCCGTAAGCCCCGACCACCGCGAGGCTTCCAATCCACCGACGTCGACAGCGTGGAGGGTTACATAGGCAGGGTCTCTCGGCCTTCCAGATGGGGTCCGAGTTGATGGGATCGGAGGATCGCGCCTCATCGCCGATGCGTCGGCTATGCGGCTCGATGTGGAGACCGACTTGTTTTACGTATACGCTGTCGGCGACGCATCGCCGATGCATGCATCGCGCGATCCTCCGACCCCATCTACTCGGACCCCCATTGGGGAAGCCTCCAGCGGAGGCTTGTGCTAGGCAGGGTCGCAGCGCCAAGAGGACGTCAAAGCGAAGCGGGCGGCTTGAGGGCCGAGGGTGAAAATGTGGCACCAGCTTCACGCAATTGCGACGCACTGCTGCGCGTTGTCAATAGCTGGGCGAGGACTGCTAAAACCGTGGCTGCTAAAACGGCCCTCCTGGAAGGAAAAAACAACTTCCCGGAATGAGGCGCGGCACGCGAAACTGTCAACGGGCTTCTTCCCGGAAGGACGAAGACAACTTCCCAGAGGTCGATTTCAGCAGCCACGGATTTAGCAGCCCTTGCCCGGCTTCCGACGCTGGTTCGCCTTTTGGGGTTGTTGGCGCTGTCCTCTGTCGACGCAAAGCGAGGCCGATCCGCCGAACATGCCGGACGCTCGCCGGGTCTTCAGCCCTGTCTGGCCGCACAGGGCGTGCCCGCCCCGCCTCCAATCATCCGATCAGCCTTTTGCCAAGGGAGTGCAGGCTCGAGTCGTTTGATTTGCTGCCAGTGTTGCGCGCTGGCACGAGGCGTAGGCGTGTCCAAATCACCCAAGTGACTTGTCCATGCTGATGGTCGCCCTGCCGTTGTGCTGCTGCTGCTGCTGCTGGGTAGCACCGTCAGAGATTTCTTCCTCCTCGGCAGGCGGAAGTGCGTTTGCGATAGCTCTGCAGTCATTTGTTGTGCGAGTTGTCTCCTTGCGCATCAGTCGTTCTCGGAGCCCCTGCATGTTCCTCCTCGCCTGGCGCACGAGCGACGTTGGGCGAGTGGCCAGATGTGCGGGGCTGGACGCTCGCACGTCATTGTGCCCTGCGCAAATTTTCTATCCGCCTCAGTCGATACTTAATAATTTGCCAAGCCGAGCATTCTTGGTATCTAACGTGGTCTCTAACGATCACTTTTTCAGATTTCAAAATTTCTGCGCGCGCACGTACTCATCACCGCCATCAGCGCCATCGCATCACCACCGTTATAGTTAGCGACAATCGCCGCCATTGTTGCCATCATCAGCAGAATCACCTTCATCACCGACACATGGACATCACCATCGTCGTCCTTCAGTGACCTTGCCGTCGTCAATGTCATCATCGCCACCACCATAGCTACCAGTATCATCATGGTTGTCGCCTTTGCCGGCCCGATCATGGTGTCGCGCCCGCCCCAGTCACCGACACGTACTGGAGCGCCAGCGCGGTTTTTGAAACGATTTGGGAAGTCCCCGTGGGTTTTGCCGAACACGTTGCGGGTGGTAAGATGGGATGGTCGGGCGAGCAGTGGGGCCAACACCCCAACGGTAGCAGCATTCATCGTACCGTTTTAGCTTGCACCACGTAGTTTGCACCACACAAATGGCACCACATAGCTTAGACCGCCTTGCTGGCACCACGTATATTGCACATCATAACTTGCGACCCGTATTCTGCACCACATAGCTTGCATCACGGAGATTGCACCACGTAGGTTCTCATCCCGAAAAGTGGAACAAGACCCCACCACCCTTTCCCCCCGCCCAGGGGTTCTTGGTCCCCGCCAGAGACGTTGCACATTACATATGCGTATGCCTTCTCCGTCATTTTCAAGTTGAGTCCATACCATCCCAGCTAATAGGTTACCGCCCTCCTCCCCCAGTCCCTGTTAAATGATTCCATTGGCACGCACCCGTTGTTGTCAAAAGACAACTTTCCAACAACCAAGTTTTGATGCAATTAGCACGGAATCCACACGCGCGTGGATGTCCATGACAAATCTTGCAGATGCTCTGCCCGTGCGCATTTACAGAAGTCATCGGGGAACCGTATGCCTTCAGCAATCTCGCCCAGAACCCGCACTCATCTCACCACGCTGTGCATCCGTCGCGTTGATCCAGTTTCTGCCCAGTGGATGAACCGTATCAAGTAGTACACCTGAGAAAACCCAATCAGTGGATGATATGAAAATTAATCATCTGGATCTCGAGATCGATAGTGAGATCGATAGTGTAATCGATAGAAGACGATTGTAAGGTCGATCGTGAGACCGAGAGTGAAATTGATTCAATGAGATCGATAGGGAGATCGATCGCGAGATCGCTCGTGCGATCTCTAGTGAGATCGCTTGCGAGATCGATTGTGAGATCGATTGTGAGATCGATGGCGAGATCGACAGAGAGATGGGAAATGAGATCGATGCTGACTGAGACCGATGGATAAGAAGATCGACCAGGAACCCGGGAACCTGGGAACCTCGCCGACCACCGAAATCGGCCCGGGAACCGGGAACCCGGGAACCCGCAACCGGGAATCCCGGAACCCAGCGTGCGACCCAAATCGGCGGGAAATGTTTGCCAAATCTTTCAATCTCCGCTATAGGGCCCTTCCAGTGCAAGCACTCATTGGGAAACAGCCATGTCCAGTATGTGCCCAGTGGATGAACCGTATCAAATACAAGCATGTGGGCCACACGCACGCGCGCGTGTCGAAGTCCGTCCTATGCCAGCTGTTTTCGGCGCATTTCCATCTAGAGCTTTGCACAAACAGATGTCAACCATATGCTATGCCAGCAAAAAACTTGTATGTGTTGTTGGATTTCTGCACGCGCACTTCCTCACCATTACCCTCGTCAGCGCCGCCGCATCACGTCATCGTCATCGTCAACCGCTGGCATCACTGACGCCATCATCACTCAAGCACCTTCCTTCATCACCGACACATTGACATCGTCACCGTCATCGTCGTCACCAGCATCGGCGCAGTCAGTGGCCTTGCCGTCGTCACAGTCATCATCGCCACCACCCTCGCTACTATCGAAGACGCTTACGGCGAATCACCACCGCCTCCTGCCTTTTTAAATCGCCCATGTGGCCGAGTGTTGTGGCAAGAGCTCTGCCTAGCTATCGGACCATGTGTTTCCCCAGCCGCTGTGAAAACCTTTCGGGCAACACTTGGGGGAGGATGGCGGGGAAGGTCAGGAGGAGGAGGAGGAGGAGGAGCAGGAGGAGGAGGAGGAGCAGGAGGAGGAGGAGGAGGAGGATGGGGCATCTGGGGAGCCTCTGGGGGCACTCTTGGGGCCTCCTGGGAGCTTCCTGGGAGCCTCTTGGAGGCATCTTGGGGGCCTTCTTGAGCCTCGGCCCAAGAGGCCCCCAAGACCGCCCCACGACGGCCCAAGAGGCTCCCAAGAGGCCCCCAAAACGGCCCAAGAGGCGCCCAAGCCGGCCCAAGCGGGCCCCAAGACGGCCCCAAGAGGGGGACCACGAACCGAAAAGTCTAGCCTTCGCCCCAAGATGCTCCCAGGAGGCCCCAAGAGCCCCCCAACGCCCCAAGAGGTCCCCAAGAGTCGTCCCAAGAGGCCGCCAAGAGGCAAAAAGCATGGATTTCCTATAGGAAAATACATTTTTAGCATACACGGCTTTTCGGCTTTCACTGCGTTGAAGACGCCCCAAGAGGCCCCCAAGACCGCCCCAAGAGGCTCCCAAGAGGCCCCCCAAACGGCCCAAAAGGGCCCCAAGACAGCCCAAGAGGCGCCCAAGACGGCCCAAGAGGGCCCCAACACGGCCCCAAGAGGGGGACCACGAACCGAAAAGTCTAGCCTTTTGCCCCAAGAAGCTCCCAGGAGGCCCCCAGAGACCCCCAAGAAGCCCCAAGAGGCCTCCAAGAGGTTCCCAAGAGGCCTCCAAAAGGGTTCCAAAAGGGCCCCAATAGGACTCCCAAGAAGGCGAAGAAACGCCAAATAGAGAGCGATCGGTAACGCAAAAAGCTCTTCACACCAAGGCTCCCAGGAGCGAACGGTGACGTAAACAAGCTGATAAGACCAAGGCTCCCAGCAGAGAGCGGTGACGTAACAAGTTCCTGACACCAAGGCCCAGCCAAGGCTCAGGAACGGGCGACAACGCAACAATCTCTGAACACCAAGGCTCCCAAGAGCGAGGGGTGACGTAACAAGCTCTCAACGCCAAGGCGCCCGGTACGAACGGTGGTGTGAGTAATTTTGCTTTCTGTTTCTGAAGCGCTCTTTCCGTTTCTGTGCCGGTTCAGGTCTAATGACCTTCGGCCCATCCCTCCGTTGTGTTTGGGCTGTGGGTCCGAGTTCTCAGGGATGCTTTTTGGGGTCTATTCTTGGGTACAGTTTTGGGTCCTCTTGGGAGCCTCTTGGGAGCCTATTATAAGCCTCTTGGGGGCCTCTTGGGGCCTCTCTGGGGGCCTCTTGGGGCCTCCTGGAGGCCCTTCGGGGCCGAGGGCTCGAAATGTCCGTTCGGGTCCCCCATCTGGGCCCCCTCTTGGAGCCGTCTTTGGGGCCTTGGGTCGTTTTGGGGCCCCCTTGGGGGCGTCTTGGGCCGTCATGGGGCGATCTTGGGGGCCTCTTGGGCTATTTTGGAGCCTCGGGAAGCCCAATGGGCGAGAGCGCCCAAAGCCTTCAGACACCTGCAGGCTATCAACGATGTTTGCATCTTGGGGCCCTCGTGGGAGGCCTCCTGGAGGCTTCTTGGGGCTTGAGCCTTCTTCGGGCAGTTTTGGGGCGTCTTGGAGGCTTCTTGGGCCGTCTTGGAGGCTTCTTGGAGGCTTCTTGGGGCGTCTTGGAGGCTTCTTGGGGCGTCCTGGAGGCTTCTTGGGGCGTCTTGGTGCGGTCTTTGGGCCTCTCGGAGCCCTCGTGGGCCGTCCTGGGGGTCTGCTTGGGGCTCCTGCGGCGCGTCCTGCAGCCCCCCTGGGCCCCCAGCACGCCACGCCCAGATGGTCTGGTACCGGAAATTTTCGGTAGCGATTTCGACGCACCCCGAATTTCGGTAGCGACCGGATCTTCGTTTGAGGGCGTTGAAATAGCGGATTTCAGAACGGTCT